AGGGAAGCTATATGGAGATCATGATTTCTTGGAAGAGAGACATAGACACAGATTTGAGGTAAAAATCTGCTATTGTAGGTGTTGAGCTGTTCTGTGTAATCCAAACAGAAGAGATCATGCATTTTCTTCCTCCTGGTCTTCTAGGTCAATCCAGAATTGAAAAAGTGTTTTGAAGAGCAAGGTTTGAAGTTTGTAGGCCAGGATGAGGAGGGAGAGCGAATGGAAGTGGTTGAGTTGGAAGGTGAGTACTTATGCAATTAGTTTATAGGTGTAGGTATTTACAAGGGAAAGTGTTTGGTGGGTAATGGAGCAGGTTTTTGAGTGGGACCAATCCAGGCGCTCTCAGAATGATGCCATTCATAAAATTACACTAAAAAAAAAAAATCTCATGTGCCTGTCCACTTAGGGACAAAAGACACTTCTTTGCCATCATCAAGGTTTCAACCAGTGTGCTCAGTGCTTTCATCTGCAGTTCAGCCACAGGCTGAAGAGACTTGACATTAATATTTTCTGTTTCTTTCTCTTAGAGCATCCTTTCTTTGTTGGTGTTCAGTATCACCCTGAATTCCTCTCTAGACCAATTAAGCCATCTCCCCCATACTTCGGCCTCCTCTTGGCATCTGCAGGAAGACTCACGCATTATCTACAAAAGGGCTGCAGGCTCTCACCCAGGTAGGTTGAAGGAAGACACTAGTCAGAACTTTCACAGGGTAGTGCTGCTTCCTACAGGATAAACTCTTGGCACAAAGTTACTGCAGGGTAACTAGGGGGTATTTGCAGCACCTCTTTTTTCCACTCTTTGAAACCTCTTGTCTTGCATTTTAACACTGACTGTAGTGCCATATAGCTGTTCTGCAGTGAGGTCCCCACTTCAGAGAGAGTAACTGTGCAGTCTCATGTTGTCAGTCAGAGGTGTTTGGGGAAACTGCATCTGGGCCTGCTCTTCTACATGATTGGAGACCTCATGGGGTTTTCCCCACATTCCTTGTATAAGTCCTAGGTACAAGAAGCTTGTTCCTGTTGCTGGATTAAAGAATGAGCCCTGGTTGTTGCAGTTTCATTTTTTAATTTCTTTTGACTTAAGCTTTCTTTTGTCTCAATCTGCAAAACAGCTAATGTTTTGGGTAGACTTAATGGTGCATTTACTTCCTTCTACTGCTCCCTAATGCCCTGCAGTTCCACTCAGCAGTTGTGACAAAATCAGCCTTCCAGTACTTAAAGGGGGCTTATAAGAAAAACGGGGACAGACATTGTAGCAGGGCCTGTAGTGATAGGACAAGGGGTAATGGTTTTAAACTAAAAGAGGGTAGATTTTTTGACTAGATCTATGGAAGAAATTTTTCACAGTGAGGGTGGTGAGGCCCTGGCCCAGGTTGCCCAGAGAGGTGGTAGATGCCCCATCCCTGGAAACATCCCAGGTCAGGTTGGATGGGGCTCCGAGCAACCTGCTCTAGTTGAAGATGTCCCTGCCCATGGTAGGGCGGTTGGACTAGATAGCCTTTAAAAGTCCCTTCCAACACCAGACTATTCTATGATTTGATGTGTAGCAAATAAACATCACTTTGGTAGTGACCCTTTTTCCTCCTTCCAGAGGAGAACAAAGAGGATTTGCTTGTGTAGCTGGAGTGCTAACATGTGCTAAACAAAAAGCCCCAAACTGAATGCAAAAGAGAAATAGCACTGAATGTATTAAACTAAAAGAATGCAAAAAGGAAAGTATTGGCCTTTCTGGGTTGAGCTGCAATGCCACTACACCACAGGAATTCCTGTGTCGATGTCTGGAGAATGACTGTCAGTTGTGCTTTAACTGATCTGCTCTGAAGAGTTTCTGTGTGAAGACACCTCATTTCAGTGCTTCCAAGGGTTGAGGGATATTCTAATTTCCTGCTTTTGCACATTTGAGTTTGAAATGGCTTCTCACAGCAGAGGAGCTGAAGTTTCCTCTGTATTGCAGCATCCTAAGTTGGTATTACCTGCTCTTGGAGTCTTTTCTGATTGTGGTCGCAAATTGTTTCATGGTTAGCATATAATCTAAAAATACTGGGGGCAGTTATAGCCTAGCCTGTATTCCCCTTTATTCCTGTGGCCTTGTAACTCTCATTGCAAGTTCAGGTTAAGTCTCATCATTGCACTTTCATGAGGTTTGCAGGTGACACCAAATTGGGGGGAACAGACCATAGGATGGGAGCACTGTTCAGAGGGTCCTGGGTAGGACGACTAGGCCAGCAGGAACCCAATGAAGTTTAACAAGGACAAATGCAGAGTCCTGTACCTAGGAACCCCTTGCAGTAATACAGACTGAGGACTGATCAGCTCGGGAGCAGCTCTGCTGACGAGGTCTTGGGGAACAGTGAACTCAACGTGAACCAGCAGTTTGTGTCTGGCAGCAAAGGAATGACGAACAGTATCCTGGGCGGTATGAATAAGAACACAGACAGTAGATGGAGAGAAGTGATTATGTCTCTTTACTTGGCATTTGTTAGACCACATCTAGAATATTCTGTGCAGTTTGGGGTCGCCTGGTACAAGTAAAAGATCAATAAATTGGAGAGAGTTTAGTGGAGGGCTACTAAGAAGGTCAGGAGGTTGGAGTACTTGCCCAGTGAGTAGAGGCCGAAGGAGCTGGAGCTTGTTCAGCCTGGAGAAGGAAAAACTTTATGGGGGACCTGAGGGCAGCCTGCCAGCATCTACAAAAACATTTTATCAAGAAGATGAAAACAGGATCTTTACAGAAGTGCAAGGTGAGAGGATGAGACTTAATGGACATAAATTGAAGTAAGAGAGGTTCTGACTGGATATAATGAAAATCTTTTTTGCTGTTAGATCAGCCACACATTGGTGCATGTTTCCCAGAAAGGCTGCGCAGCCTCCGTCCTTGGAGAATTTCAGAATGTGACTGGATAAAGCCCTGCGCAGCTGTGTCTGATCTGATAGTTGTCCCTGTGGTGTAACTGTCCTAAGGCCCCTTCTGATCTGAATTACTTTGTGGTTCTGAAAAAGCTGTTTAATGGATTATAGGCTCAGCTGTTACTGGGAAGCTGAAATAGAATGGTTTATGGGTGGTTAACTAGTCTCCTATTTCCTGTTTAATTAATTTCATTTAGTATAACTTTGCCTTATAAAATGCCTATTATATGTATAATAATTTTAATTCACAAACCTTAAAATTGATGATGACAGCCTTCTTTCCAAAGGGACAGCTATACTAGGAATTTTGTGTGCTTTGCTTTTCAGCCTCAGCCAGCAGTACTTACTACCAAACCCTGCTAATTCCTGATGCAAAACAAGGTCTAGAAAGCACTTGAGCTCTGTAAAATATATGTATTTCTGAATTCTGCAGGGACACCTACAGTGATAGAAGTGGCAGCAGCTCACCTGACTTGGAGATAACAGAGCTGAAGTTTCCATCAGTGAATCATGACTGATTCCAGGTAACTTTTAATGACCTCAACCTCTTTCCTTATGGAAAAAATTCCTTGTTCAGTCTTTCCTCCTGGCATGTGAATGTTTCACATCACTTGGTAGAAAACTGGTACGCCATGAAAAGTGCTGGTGCTCACACACGTGTTCCAGCTGTGCAGAGGGATGCATAATATCTCGTGTCTGTGTAACAGATGCAGATGCGTATTTCCTTAGCAAATTGACACATAATAAAGTATAAAAATATATGTGGGAGTTTGAGATTAAATTCAAATAAAGAAACAAAGCACAGATTCAGCACACACTGCTGAAAATGGAGGCAAAGCTGAGCAAGGGGTTACTGGATTTAGAAAGTTTAGTATTTTGCAAGCAATCTCTCACCTTTGCCAAAGAACGTTTTTGAAATAGCCATTCTCCCCTATCTCTTGAGACAGCAAGTTTCTCTGTCAAACCAGTGGGCTTGAGCTCTGAACTGTAGTAGCTGCTGTTATGTGGATGTGAAAATTGGACGTATATAATCGAGTCTTGGGGGGGGCAGCACTAAAACCTAGCATTCAGACTTCACCAGCAAAAAAGGTAGACTTAATTTTTAAATGAGTTCTCCCTTTGTGCGGTAGGCGATGGTGGACGTAATGCTTTTCCTCACTCTGGCTGGTCTTATGTGGTGTTCTTGGAGAAGTTAAGCAGCATTTGTACACATGCATGTCAAGTGAGAACAGGGGCTTATTGCTGAATGCCAGGGGACCAAGGATGTCCAACTTCTCTCTCCCCCCTTTCCTTCATCTAACATCCTTCCAAAGCTAACCGCAGAATAAAGAGGAGGGTTAGCCCGAGTCTAGCACAGAAGTATTTCCCCATCCCTGGTCACGGGACTGGGCTGTTGCAGTGCTGAAGATAGCTGGGATCATTGGGTGTCGGGTTGTTCCAGTTCTGGTACCACAGCAAACTAAAAGCTGAAGAATCCTCTCTGTAAATTTTTATCTTCCTGAAGATACTCTGAACCTTTGGCTCACTGACCGTGTCTAGTGTGCGCCCTAATGTGACAAGTCTGGGCACTGCATTGATACCTGATGGCTTGGAGGCTGTTCCCAAATGAGAAAATTGTAGGGAAAGCGACACTGCATGTGTGGTGTGTCCCCTAACTGGCATCTGCTGGCACATGGCTCAGCTCAACTCTCTCTTAATAGCTGCATCATAATGAAGATCTTCCTTTGGTACCAGCCACGGGCAGTGCTGGGAAGGGCATGAAGTTAATTCTTAGCTTAACAGTGCTCACGCCCTACATTTTATTTAAACATCAACTTCTAGAAGGAGCTTGCTTTCTTGGGGGTTGTAATACACTGATCTTAATGTTGCCATAGTGCCCCTATAAAAGTAATAGACATCTTTTGTCCTGGAAGAGGAGTGTTGTCAGGTCTCACATGTTATGTTTGTCTGGGGTGATGTATGTAGGACTTGGACTTCAGTGTGCCGTGCAGTTCTAGCCTGTTGCTCTTCACTGTCAATAACTGCTGCTCCTTTCCTTTCTCTGTTTCTCCAGATGTGTCTTCACTGAAGAGAAGAGTCTTCATTAGATTTTCCAGGCATTCTTACAGCAATAGCTTGAACACTGTCAGCTTTGGGCTTTCTTAAGTTATGGTTTTATAATTTTCGTTATGAAATCCTCTCCTGTTATTTCCTCAACTCTTCTGTCCTTTGTTTATTTTCTGTGTAGATTCTGTTTGTTTCTGGAGGAGAGCTCATCACAGCACATGCACCTCTGGACTTTCTTCAGTTAGCACTATCTTGGAGATAAAAAGCAAATTTGGGTATGGGATTTGACGTGTTGGGGAGAACGCAGTTGCTCACTTCCTTGCTAATGCATGGTAATGCTGGCATGAGTTTATGTCTTGGACAGTGACAGTTGAGTTGCTTTCTCCAGCCTTTCTGCTCCCTCAGCAGTCTTTATTACTGGTGAAATTATGTGGATGACACTAGATTTTGGGGGCTCGCTCAGTTCTTGAGCTGTGCTCTGCTGCAGAGGGTAGGTCTGTTCAGCTTTATGCAGGGTTTTTTTTTGTTTTTTTTCAGTAGCATTTAAAAACGTTTGGCACTGGTGGTCTTGGTGCATTCATTGCCAGCAATGAACTTTTAACCAGGAAAATATTCCTGGAATAGAGTTGCTCTGGAACATGATCAGCTCTAACTGTGATATGTCACTCTGCAGGGATGCAATTAACTTGGCTCGGGAGGGTGGTGCGGGGGGGGGAGAGTGAAAGAAAAAAAAAAAAAAGACTGTCAGGAAAGTCCATCATTGTCTGAAACAAGGCGTAACTGTTAGCCCTTTCTATGCCAGTGTTTGCTGGTGCTGCTTCTTGGCTGGGAAATTTCAACTCCTTGCATCAAGGGGAGGTACAGAAAAGAAAGTGAACTACTTTCAGATGCTGCCTTTAAAAGCTCCTGTTGTGACTTGCCTTGGACTGAACAGTTCATGGTGCTTTTTTTTTTTGTTGATTGGAAGTGGAGCCTTCCGTTGCCTTTTTTTATACGGCGGAGCCACGTGTCCCGCACTCGATGCAATACAGAACTGCTGTTTCCCGAGGGAGGGGCTTCGCAATTTGCCTGCAGTGTTACTCGGTTTAGTTTGTCGATTGTGTGCTGTCCTATGATGACGAGCTCAGCTTTGCAGTTCTGGGGTGGGAAACGCACTCGCTTCCCCCCCCTACCTCTTGCTGCAGTGTAAGCAACAGAGTTTTTGGTCTTTGGTAATTTAGAAGAAAGGAAGAAAGTGTCTTATTTGTCTGAAGTGTTCTATGTTCAGAACTCCTCAGTTCATTAAAGTTCAAGAAAGCTGTACATCTGAAGCCTGGCTGACTACTAACTCCTGTGTTGTCTGATGCCAAACTTGTTGTGTCTCATCTTAAGTGATCTTTTCCACAGCCCTTCTTGCTTTATTCCTCCTCAATTATTTGAAATATATGCCATAAAGCTACTTTTAGCCCGGAAAACTTTGAGCATTCTTCGTGTGTGCCAATTAGAACAGTGCCGCAAAAATGATCAACAGTCAGAGATGCTCTGTACTGAACAGGCACTGGTCATGAAATGGCTGGTCCTCTAGCAGTGCGGGATCATTACTACCTGTAGCACAACTTTGTTCATTCTTTCTCATGAAATGTTTTTGTTTTGGCCAAAACTCTGCAACTGACTTGGTCACGAAATGCTTATTTGTAATAAAATAAGTAACTAGCCAAGAGATTGCTATATTACTTCTGTAGCTGAGAGGGAGAAGAAGGACTAAAGTATAATACTGTCTGATTTTAAATTAATCCGGTGTAAGCTAGAAGAGGTTTGTTAGCCATATTTGCCGTGGTGTTTAGACATGTATTTCTGAAGTCTGGCTGAAATTACTGGGCTTCTAGCAGTGGAGAAACCTGGGGAAGCTGGACTGAGCCTACAGGCAGTTTTTCATTAAAAAACAGCTGCAAGCTGCCTGTTGGATGGTTTTGCTCCCTATTCCTCCTCAGCTGCGAGAGCTGCTTACCTGGTGCCCACGGTGGGGTGGCAGGACCAGAGCCGTGTCTCTGGGCTGTGGTGTGTGGGGCTGTCACTGCTGCTGTGCTCCCCCTCCAGGAGCATGAGTCTTGCTCCAGCTGTGGGTTCATAACCAGCTTCCCCAGGCCCACGGCACCCTGCGCTTGCTGCCCACTGCCGAAGGCGAGGAGTGGGGAAGTGATTGCTCCTTTCCCTTCCTCAGCTCGCTTGGCTCCAGCAGGGCACAGTGGCCTGGGACCAGCGTGCTCCACTGCCGCAAGGGCTGTGTTTTTTCTGCTCTATGGTCACCAAGAGAGAGCTGACTGCCCTGAGCCATGGCTGGTCTCTGCGAGGCGAGAGGAGGGAGCTGCTCATGGGGGAGGAGGGCTCAGCTCTCCCCAGACAAACCCTGCTGCCCTCCTGGGGCACCAGGTGCCAGCCCCGCTCTCTGCCTTTGCCCTAAGGGAGGACTTCGCTGTCTCCACAGCCTGACTAGTGGGCATGTTGGTAAAACCTCTCTCCCTGAGCTGGGCTCCTTTAGTGGTGGGACAGGGACGAGGCAGCCCCACAGCAGTCCTGTATGCCCTTCCTGGGCTGGGGTGGTGCACCCCAGAGTGGCAGCTATTTTCTGCTTTGATCCTGGCTCTTTGCTGCTGCATTTTAGCTCCTTAGCTGGGGCTGCAACTGAAGTGAGCACATGAAGTTAAGGTACATGAAATCTAACAAATAAAATGGGCCTCCATGGGACTCAGCACTGGGTTTTGGGAGCACAGTCACTGTGGGAGCTGGTTAAGGCAGCCCAAAAGATGGATGGATCTTGTGGGACTGTGGGCAGGGACACGCTTGCTCCCCCTGCAGTCCCAGGAGAAGGTGGACAGGGCTGGGTGCTGGCATGGTGGAGCCCCAGGTCCTCATCAGCCCGGGCTGGGAGCACCATGCTGCTGACAGACAGTCCAAGGGGTGAGTTTGGGCCAGAGGCACCTGAACAGAGGTCCCAGGGTGCCCAGCAGGTCCCAAGGCTGCCAGAGGGAGCTGGGATGCTTTTCCCACCTCATGGGGTGCTGGACCTCCAGGAGCAGCCTAGGCCCTGTCTCCCCAGCAGCACCCACCTCACTGCCCCTCCTGGGGTTGGGTGCCTCTCACCTGCCTTCTGCAACCACCAGCACCTTCCTCTTGCCGCTGGTGCCTGAGCAGATGTCACGAGGTGCTCCAGGCACATCTTGATGCAGTACACAAGCCCCAACCTCACCGCATGTGTAGGTGAGATTCACCTTGGCTTCATCCCTGCCTCACCATGGTGCCACGGGAGGAGCAGCCATGCCAAGCCCAGGGGCACCCTAGTGTGTGCTGCGGGGGCAGGTGCCCCAAGCACGGTGTGGGGCCTGGCTGGGCCCCCTTGGTCTCTGGCCCCTCTGTTACCCAGCCCACCAGCTCCCTCCTGGTGGGATGGAGCAGCCCTGAACAGCTCACAGGGGCTCCAGGCCAACCTGCGGCT